GCCGGGTCGGAGGAGGTCAGCACCTTGAAGCCATAGTCGCCGGGGGTTCCGGTCTTGTAGTCATCGAACCCACCGCTGAACTCCACGAATCCAAAGTATGCGGCAATCTGCGCCCAACCTGCCATTGGCACCTTGGAGATAGCTGCGAGTCCGTTCGGGATGTCGGCGAACTTGAGGCCGGCGGATGGGCTCAAAAAGCCCGGCCTCAGAGCACACACATTGACTTTGTTGCAAGCACGGACGCTTAGAAAATCAAATTGCGAGCCCTCACCTCGCCAAACGCCAACACACATGTCAAGGATTCACTGCCCACCTGGTGGTTTTCCTAGACCCTAAACCCTAAACCCTTAAACCCTCTGCACCTTTTGTGGATTTGGCCCCGTGCGGGAAGTTTTGTACGCCAGCCGGCCCTGGGGTTCCTGACGATTGCTTTCCCTCTGGAAACCATAGCCTGAACCCCAAAGTATGTAGAATAATGGCCTTTTGGGCTATATTTAGGTGTTTTGGGCTATCATTCTACCTACTTTTGGGGTTTAGGAGGTGCTTATGTTGCTGCGCTTGCCAAGTTGCCCAGACCCCCTAAAGGATCCAAAAAATGGAACCCCCCCAATATGAATCCATTACTACATTGGGGAAACTAGGGGATTATGAGGGGTTCCATTTTTTGGATCCTAAACCCCATATACCCCTATATAACCCTTATATAACCCCATATAACCCCTATAAACCCCTTTAAGGGGGTTCCATTTTTTTGGATCCTTTAGGGGGTCTGGGTGATCACCACTGGCTCCTGGAGCGCCTCCTTTTGTCATCACTGAAGTAGCTAGCAAGATAACATTCCTTATATGAGCCATAGTCTAAACTCCTAGTATCCCCCTTAATAAGCCCTATAGAAGTCCCCTATAGAATCCCCTATATATCCCCCCTTTAAGGAGTTTAGACTACAGCTCATATGAAATACTATACCCCAGAAAGAGGATATAATCTTAGTCTATGATGGGTACCATAGTATCCCCAAATAAAATACTACTCAGACTAGTGTTCGGATGGTCGTGGTCAAAATTACGCCGCCGGAAACACAACCATCATCACGATACTAAGGCAATACAGCGGGGCCCTGTTTTCCGAAATACACAGGGAACTTCAATCCCCGACCCTAATGCTTAAAACCTATTTGGAGATCCGGTTGACAATAAGGAAGAAGGAACATCATGTCCGTCCTAAGTTCCGAAGATTGTTCACCACAGCTATCGTCAATTAGAATCTCTAGGTCAACCCAGACAACTAAAAGTCAAGCCTTAAACCCTGTGGCTTGGCTCCACTGAGGCTCGAGCAGCTTCCCTGTGACCTCCGGCGTGATGTAACCTCAACGGTATTGGGTTCAGGGAGTTAGGGTTTATAAAGGTGAGAGTTGAGGTTCGGGTCCCAGCGTATAGGGGGTTGCGGCTGGGTTAAGGGTTTGGGGTTCGGGTATGTAGGGTCGAGAGTTGATAGAGTTCAGGTTTGGGTCTTGGGGTTTCGGGGTTTTGAGGTTAAGGTTCTTGGGTTCCCCCCTTTAGGGTTAAGGGTCTAGGGTGTTCAGGGTTTAGGGTTCAGGGTCTGGGATCGAGGATTGCGGATTCAGAGATCAGGGGATCAGGGATTGGGCTCGAAGGTTTGGAACAGTGACTTAACGCTCTGGAGTGGGGTTGCGGGCTTGGGGTTGAGGGTTTACGGGATCGTTACGCCTTGGCTATGGGATTTGTTTAGGGACTTTTACATGGATCTATGCAGGTTGTTATAAGATTATGGGTAGTTATGAAGTGAAGTGAGGTGAAGTACAAGAACCCTCATTCGGCGCTGCAACTGCATTTACGAAAACTTGTCACTTAGACTCTGCGCAAGCCGAATAGCTATCCATGAGCTTTCAGGTTACGTTTGGGGGTGTTTGGGGCTTAGGCCTTTGTTTTTGCTTCGTGTCGGCAATGGCGTCAGCTACCGGCCATGTTAGGGTTGAAGGGTTTAGGGGTTCAAGGGTTTAGGGTTTACGGTTTAGGGGATCAGCAGAACGCAAAACAGAAATGAAAACAAGGACATGATGTTGTGGCTGTTTCCGAAACCTTTATGCACGTTAAAACCTAAACCTTGCAGTTAATACTTTCCGCTCACTTGTTCCTCCATAAAAACCAGGAAGTATATCCCTTTTAAAACTTTTGGAAAAGGCACTGAGGTTGCCTTTTCATTTTCTAACTGGTTTCCCGTTTGATTCTGGACGTTCCCCGTATATTATTGTATATTATGCCTATATTACCCATGGAAAGCCACCCCAAAATGTTCCATTTCCTGTTTCATTGTCTTCTCCATTACATCTAATAATTTAGGGCGGCTAAACCTTAAGCACTATCACATCATTCTATAGACCTCTTATAACTTACAGCCCTATGTAACCTAAACCCCTTAACCCCCAAGCCTTGAACCCCTAAACCCTAAACCGGGGCTTGGGGCTCCAAAGCCTCCAGAGCCTCCAGTGTAGCTGTCGAATCGGTCCCTCATGTTTCCCGGCTTGTCTATTGTCCCTTAACTAAAGTAGCCGTTTCAGAAAAGTTTGAGAACCCGAAACGAAGCCATTTTTGGAGCGTTTATGAATGTTTATGAATGAGGCCACCAGGCGGCCACCAGGCCATTATTGCAACTATTCTCGGAGTTTGGGAGCTTGGGTAGGGCTGAGGGCTTCGCCAATGTTTAGGGTTTGAGGCTTGGGGATTTGATTTTAGGGTCTTGATGCATGAGCCTCTATTTAATGTCCTTACAGGGTTTGTCGATGAAGGATTTTTCAGAGCACCTTGAGGCTAAGATGTACAATTCCATGCCCAAATAATGAACCCCCCCCAAGAATGGATACCCTAAACCCTAAACCCTAAACTACCCCAATTCAACGTTAGGCGGGGAATTCAAAACACGTTGTGATGAGGATTTGGTGTAATGTTGGAGCTTTGGGCCTAGGTTTGGGGTCTGGGATCTAAGGTAGGAAGTATAAGGTTTAGGGTTTAGGGTTTAGGATTTAGGGTTTAGGGTTTAGGATTTAGGGTTTAGGGCTGTTGACCGATAAAAAAACGTCGGACCCCTGTTTGGAATTGCTCCCATCTTGGCAGACACAACGTCCTCCTCACATTCGCAGACCGGTAGCGGTGGCGAGGTGGCTGAGGCGAAGAGGGTGCTGCGGGAGATGCAGGGCATGCCCGGAGCTTGAAAACAACAAGTTTGCGGTCACTGGGCATCGCTGCTCTTGGCAACGCGTGGACATCAGGGACGAAAGCAGAAATCCGCCTGCCTTTCTATGGCAAGGTCGATCAACCCTGGCGTCCTCCACCGCCTATGGCACCATGAGGCGGTGTGGGACAGAGTATGCCTGGTTTGCGGTTTAGGGTCTAAAGTAGGAAGTACAAGATGTGATCTATAAAAAACGGCGGACCCCTGTTTGGAAATGCTCTCATCTTGGCAAGGACAACGTCCTCCTCCCCTAAACCCCCGAAACCCTAAACCCTACATCCTACCGAAATCTCTCACCCTGAACCCAGAACCAAAACTCAGCCTGGAACACCAAGCCCTAAGCCCTAGTAGGGGTTTAGTTTAGGCTTTGGGGTTTAAGGTAAACCCAAAGAACAGAAACCACAACACTGAAAGCCGACAAGGTGACGTTTGAAGCCGCAGACCGAAACTCAAGAATGGCAATGCTTCCCGTGCCAAGTAAGCTTTAACCGAAACTCTTTTACCAAACCTGAGAAAGTGCCGGATACTGCGTGGCCATAACTTGGGTTCTTCCTGCTTAGAAAGGCTGAGTAAATAGTAGTTTCCATTTTCTTTTCCATCATCCCAATATAACCCCTATATAACCTTAAACATAACCCTGATATCTATAGGCTTCCAAGGAAGCCCACCTCGATAACAACTGTAATCAGGACGTCGTTTTTTTTTGAAGAGGCACCCATGGCTGCCATCATGGAGATTCGGCCATGCTTCCTTAAAGTTGGAGCTTAAGAGTTTGAGTTCGGGGTCTGCTTCCGGTTCCTTACTATCATAGGGGAAGTATCAAAAAGCATAATTAGCTTCATACATTGCTTATTGGATTTTGCCATGTGGAAACTGAAGCTTAGGTGCAGCAACGACCCATGCTTAGAGCCCAATGTTGAAGGAAAAGGGCCCAGGGCTGAGAACTATTTCGCGTGTTCGGTGAGTGTTGTCAAGCAGGTTTCAAGCTCACTTAGCCTAGCTACTTGAAAAGTAGTTTCACCTGATTCTACTGTGTCAACCGCTGCTTGGCATAAGGTCAGGTGAGGTCGTTCTTATCCGTCCATGTGATCGGCTACATGCTGAAGCACCCACCCCAGTCTTAATATTCTGACCCTATAGTTGGACCCGGCTCACGTGATTCAGCCGCCCACAGTACCTTGCTGTACTATAAGACAGGACATCAAGCGCTGTGTCTTTTAACCTTTTTATGAAAAAGCCTGTCTAAGCCTACATAACACTTATACATTGGGTACTGCCCCCACCCAGTAACAGTCTATATTAGGGGTGCTATTAAGGGCGATATATAGCCATATTATACCTATTATCCAACTGTTATTCAGGGGGGGCAGTACCCAACTTATACAAGCCTAGATAAGCCACATATATACTTTTTGGTGCTTGGGGCTTTGCTTCGTGTTTATTGCACCTTCTTTCAGTTCAGCCATGCTGTCTGATGAGGGTTTCGGGTTTAGGGCTTCGCCCGTGAGAGAGGTCTCAGCAAGGGGATGGCCTTCAATATCTTTGGTCTTCCACAGCAATCAAACCATAAAGCCTAAACCCCAAACCGCTAAACCCTAAACCCTGCACCCTAATCCCTAAACCTGAAACCCTAAACCCTAATCCCTAAACCCTAAACCCAGGTTTGAAAACGGTTCAGAGCCAATGTTTCTTGGATATCGGGCGTATCTCAATCTCAACCCCTCCGGCCTCGAACCTTAAAGCGCTAAACTCTACTTTATAGAGGGGTTTATATAGGGTTATATAGAGATAATGGACAAGGAAATCGAGTTATATAGGGATTATGGAGAAGAACATGGAAGCCACTGTAGTATAACAGGGTTTATATTGGGGTAATATCATTGGGATGCTGGAAAAGAAAATGGAAACTACACCCCAAGATCCTGAACTGTCAACTCACTAGCATGGAACTCCACGCGTGCTCACAAAGCAAGCCCTAAAACCTAAACCCTAGACCCTAAACCCTTAACCCTAAACAAGTCAGCCCAACCTCCCCAAAGCCTGAACCCCTGAGCTCCAATACTAAACTGGCCGCAGAACTTTTTAGGGTTTAGGGTTTAGGGCAACTAAAAATGATATTTTTTGGTTGGTATTGGGATTGTGGTAACGAAGAATTTAAAAAATTGGAGGCCCCTATAGAATAGGGCTTAGGGTTTAGGGTTTGTAAACCATTAACACGAAACCCAACCCTCGATCTAACCAACATGGAACGTCACAAAGGGGGGCCTTTGCAACCTGCCATGTGTTTAAATTAAATGGAGCTTACATGCTGTTCCATGTTGGTCTCGGAGAGGGTAGCTCCCAGGCCAATATCTTTAGACCTTAACCGCTTAAACGCGGAACCCCTTGATCCTGAAATGCCTGAATGCAAAACTTCAAGCCTTAGGCCCGAAATCTTAAACCTTCCATCCTAAACCTTAAGTCCGAACCCTTGAGCCCTAACCCTTGAACTTCAATTCTATATAAACCTTACACCCTCAACATTAAATCTTAGACCCAACAAAAACCCTAAGCCGTAGACCTTCAACCCCATATCATAATTCCTGAACCTAAACCGAAAACCTTGAAGCCTGAATCCTGAATCTAAAGCCTTAAAACTTAAATCTGAAATTCCATATTAAACTGAAACTCTAAACCTTAAACCGTGAATCTTGCATAGACCCTAAACCCTAGGATCGTAAACTCCGACCTACGATTCTTTACCTGAAGTACGTAGAAACTCACTGCTGATGGAGAAAAATGCCAAGTATGGGATACCTTTCGAAGTTTAGGGTAAGGGGTTTAAGGTCAGGGTTCAACGGTTTCGGATTGAAGGTTTAGGCGTTTTGGGCACAAGGCTCGAATACTTGGAGGGTCAAGCGGGCTAAGTAAGTACAGTAGTATACCTATAACTCGCATATATATATATATATATACCCCTTGCTAAGTCCCTATGTCCCTCCACATCGCACCGAAATTCCACTTTTAGGTGTGCGCGTGGAACCCCCTTATGTGCCCCCTCCGAAACCCTCAGCCCTGGGCCCTAAACCCTTACTCCTAAACCCTAAACCATATATGTGCTATAGTCTAAACTCCTAGTATCCCCCTTAATAAGCCCTATAGTAGTCCCCATACATAATTCTCTATATAACCCCCTTTAGGGAGTTCAGACTATAGCTCATATATGTGCAACGTCATTGTCTTTGTTTAGGTGAGTGGCAACTCGACGGAGCGACGCCTCTTGAAGGCTGCCGTATCTCCTTTTGAACTATGTCCCAGTGGGGGAATGGAAAATAAAATGGAAGCTACTATACTGGAGAATCAAATGGCAAAGAAAATGGAAAATGAAATTGAAACTGGGATTATGTACCAGGACCCTCCTTGTACCCTTAATTGGGGATATATGGTCCCTAATAGTGGGTACTTAGGCCCTTATAGAGGGTAGGAGGCGCGTCTAGGTCCATCCTACTTACATACGGCTTGGGGTTTTACGCGCTGGGCTTAGGGTGTAGGATCTGGGGCTTTTAGGGTTCAGAGCTTAGAATATAGTTAGAGCTAGAGCTTGGGGTCTAAGGGTAAATTTGAGGCATAGCGGCATATCAATCCCGATGTTTGATCCCTCTTAATGCGGAGGCACCGACTGTGCAAAAATTCGCCGAAATTACTCAGCGCACCCTGATTCGGCTGGGGGGTCTTAATTGTGCGAACTTTTGCGGCATAAAACGTAATTCTAAAAATAACTGAATAGAAACCGTTCTAAATGCCTTCTGAAACCCTGCTGAGCTTTTATCTGAGCCGATTCTGATCCTCCTATTAAACATGCTTATTAGCTATTGGGTTCATACTCGTTTGAAAGGGAACCCCTCCCGAATTATATCCATGAAGGACCCTTTTTTGTCGAGAGGGAGGGTCCCCTACACTAGTTAGGACCCGACTTTACAGGAAAAAACTATTGGCGGTTGGCTCTGGTAAGACAATCTTTCTTGTATCAAGCCTTTCTACCAAGCCAACACACTTCGACTACAGTTTGGACTACTGAATCCTAAGCAATATACTGCACCCATATGGGTACTGAAAGTCATTGCCTTGTTTTGGCCGCAGTCTTACGCAACTCGCCTCCCACCGCAGCGCCTTATTCTGCTAACGCCCCATGTGTAGCCTTACGATGACCCTTTGCCGCCCTTCCTTTTCCGCGGCACCGTCAGGGAAACAAAACTCAAACCAACATCCAACATGAAAAGAATAATCATGTCCACATCAAAAAATTACTGCAAGAAACTCTGCACTGCCTGGGAATTTGGATACCAAAAGCATGCTGCCTTCAACACTTTGGTGCACAAAGGAACTGCCACCACACGTGGGCTCTTCCGTGCACAGGGCTTTGGGGATAAGAGTCGCGGCTTTGGGTAAGCGGGACGACTTCAAGAAGCTGCTACCGTCGTGTCAGAGCTACCCAAACCGTCAACCCTCCAAAATCCAAACTTGACCACAAAGCGTAGCCGAAGATGCTACAGTCCCCCAAACTGACACGGAACCCGACAAGACCTAAGCCACACAACAGTCTAAAGACCCAAACCCGAACTAGCAAGCCCAAAGTCTGAACCAACTCCCAGAGTTCTGAAATCTCCTGACAATGGAAAACCCTTGACCAACAACTAGAACCCTCAAGCGCTTATATAGGTGTTAAATAGGGATAATGGAAAAGAACATGGAAACTAGTGTATCATAATAGGGTATATATTGGGGTAATATTGTAGCACGACTTTGGGATGGTTTCATCTCACTTGTAAGATTTGATATATACACAGACAGGTACCCTGAAGATGCAGCCATTCTATGTTCGGGGAAAATGTGTTTCTACGGGGACAACGGGTTTGAGTATTAGGGGAGCTCATTACATTGAAAATGATTGTAAGGGCATCAGTCTCTCTAGACCCGGCTTGCGCGTGAGCCATTGTCTAAAGTCCTAGCATCCCGCATAATAACCCCTATAGTAGTCCACTACATAATCCCCTACATAACCCCCTTTTAAGGAGTTTCGATTACAGCTCACATGAGCTACTTTGTGCACACCGTGTTTGGCAGTTCAGGGATGAACCTGCTCAGGCCCAAGTTGGTGAACGCACAACTCCAGGAGGACAATAAATGCTCATGAGACCAATGGCCCAAAACCGTATGAAAGCAGCTTCTTAAAACACTCTTCGAACACCTTAAATGCTCAACCCCTAAACCTAGGTCATTTAGTGTTAATGCAAATCTAGACTCCGGAAATGAGCCTTGAACGCCCATACCAAGTACCTTGAAAGCGGCTTCATTCCAGTCCAAGCGTCCGTCTGCGGTGAACCCGACGGGATCCCAGAACCCAACAGGATCCTGCCTCTTGATGGACGCGGCTCAGGGTTCAGGGTTTAGGGGATGGATAACGGGGGCCTAAATAATTGCCGCTTTGTTTTGAGGTCTGTTTGCAGTACCCTCTACCATAATTATACGAGCTATAGTCTAAACTCCTAGTATTCCCCTTGATAACCCCCATAGTAGTCCACTACATAATGCCCTATATAACCACCCTTTATGAAGTCTCGTCAACCATAAATATACAAGGCTCCTACATTGTTGGAGAAAACCCAGAGATCCTAATACCCCTTTGTACCTTGAAGAGGGGATATAGGGCCTTCATCGGGGTTGTATAGGGATAATGGAAAAGAAAATGAAAACTACAAGTTAGGGGTTAGAGTTTATACCCAGCGCCCAATACCCCTTAATTAAGGATGATATACCCTTAATAGTACTAGGGTCCCTAATATGATTTAAATAAGCCATATTCCTTAATTAATAGGTATTGGGCTCCTTGGGTAGTAGCTGTGGTAGAGTTTGCAAGGCGAGTACTAGATGAAATTCTAACAGTACACAAAACTAGCATTGGCAGCAGGCATTAATAGCATGTCAAATCAGTTTAGCACTCGCTTTTCTAACAGTCATGGTGACATACATGGGATGTAGTTAACCTCCTAAGGCCAACGCTACGTTGCTCAACTTGATTCTCATGTAACAAGAAACCTTCAGAGCTTCGTAGGCAGTTGGGGAAGGAATCTCCACAGAAATCTCTGTATACCTCGGTTCTCACTCCTAGATTCCCTTCTAACAATCAGTAAATAAGTCGCAAACCCAAATTACATAGGAAATCTCCACTTTCTTGTCCATTCCTTCGTTTCCTACTAACCACCAGGAAGTAACGTGATCTAGAAATCGAAAGGTTGCGCCGAGAACCCTTTTGGTGTACCCTGAATAATCAGAGGGGTGTGATGATGGGGACCCGGGCAGGGACCATAATTTTGACAACCACCCATGTGGACAGTTGTCATCATTGCGGTCCCCTAGTGGATTCCTTATAGAATGCGGCCCCGAATATTTACGGACCCCAGCAGCAGAGGACTATTGTTTTTACGGCCCCCTAATGAAATGCTTTTACGTGCCAACATGATGAGAATTACTTTTCTTGTTAGTTTACGCGTAGCTTAAGCCTGTACACCGAACCCCACCGCAGACTCGGAATGCCAATCCTCTTTCTTAAGCCCTCCCCCACCAGTCGTACCTCTTTGAAGCCCATAACCTTGACATGAACACCAAGGTTTGGAGTAAGCCAAGATGCACTCCGAGCTCACTCTCAAAGGCCTTTACGGCCACCTGGCAGCAAATACGACGAAAGGTTTAGGGCCTATGGGGTTTTGGGAGGAATGCCCCCAATCCTTTGCGTCGGGCTTTGTTGTCCATGACTTCTCAGGAGTAAGCGGGCATCTTACGACAAACATCCTCCACAATGAGTGAAGGTAACGGCAGGTCAGATGAACATTCGTGATCCTGACCCTAAACCCTAAACCCTAAAAAACCCAAGCTGACAAAAGAGCGCTGTTGCAGTGCCATTACCGGCATTGTTCTGCCTGGCCAGACCCTCCTACGTAGTTCCTCTTTTGGGTATGATTTGGGTTGGGCCCCCGCCCACCAATAGTGGTATATTAGGAATATATAAGGACCCTCATATAATTACGATTCCCTTTTCGGGTCACTATTAGTGAGTGGGGGCCCAACCTAAGGTGTGATATGATAATCAACTACCAAAAAAGCCATAACGGACCAACAAAAAGGAACTACACAGCAGCCCTTGGGTAGCCTATAAAGCACTTAGATTTGACTTTCTCGGCCTTCCTCGAAAACCAGGCACGGCAGCAAAGCTACTTTTTGTTCCCTACGATTCTCCGTACTTGCATGTATGAAATTCTGGAAAGCACTACGGTACACCCTCTGGCCCAATATGCGCATGCTGAACGACACTCCCCATGCCCTCTTTCGAATCACCCTTAACCATAAACCCTCAACCCCTAAAACCCTGAACCCTAAAACCAGCTTTCCGTTTATCCTGTGTGCGCAGCGGGGCAGGGATAAGTGGCGGGCAGAGTTCAGCTTTAAGAGCTTCTTAGGCTTAGGGTTTAGGGTTTCGCGGCGTTTGACATTGAACCGTACTTCCCCAAAGCCAGAGCCCTGGACACTAAGGTTGGTTCATTCCCCCTTACACTGACTGTCCGGAAACTGTTTAGGGTTTAGGGTTAGGAGAGGGGAATGACCCAACCCTAAAGCCCTACGCTAATGTAGAAGCCTCAAGAATCACCAACACTTTCCCCTCTCGCAATCTGTATATACTTAAGCTTTTATACTAAAAACACCCCATGCAGGATCTTACCCTAATCATAATTCAGGCCCCTACAGCAAGCCCTCAACTCCACAAGCAGCGAGACTGAGATTCCATAAGCCGAAGCCGGGCTCACTACGCTGTGCGTAGAGCTGCTGACGCCTACCTGAATCACTTCAGGGTGTAGTGTCTACCTGAACTTCAAAAGTAAGTCAGATAAGTGCAAAAGTGCAATCAAACATCACAGGGCTGTGATCTTTCCCACTTTGGGGCTTGAGGCAGGGTTTAGGGCAAGAGCTGGGAAATGTGACTGTTTTGCAGCAGGTCAATTGCCCATTTCAAGCAGGAGCAGCCTGCCCACTTTTGCGCACTCTAGTTTTCTGGCTCAAACTATGGCATCAAGTTCAGGGCAAGAATGAATTGGATTTAAATTTTGACTTGTATATATATATATGTATGTTATATTTTCCGCTTTGGAATTCAGCACGGCTTGGGTTTACAGGCTGTGAAATGGAGGAATTAATGCGAAGGCTTGATCAACGGCAGGAGTCAGATGCCATTCAGACCGCTACGCTTCAAGAATCATGAGTCTCGCATACATTCGCGGCTTGAAACATCGATGCGGAAAAAGACCCTTTGCGTTGAGACATCCTTTCACCAATCTTGAGGGATTGCAAGTGTTGGACAAACCTGTGAGCCAAATTGGATCTTCACTTCAAACATATAAACACATAGTGAGAACGAAAGCATTCAAAACCACCAAGCACGCGCCATACGCTGGGATATTTGGATGGTTCTATAATCTGATTTTAGCGTAAATGTGCACAAGTTTAAGCACTTTTCCTTCAAAGGATACTTCAATCAAGGATTATGAGCTAGCTCACGGCCATGTTCCCTGTAAGTGGCCTTTAGCCTTTGGCTTGCATTTTTTAAACTTTTGAACGCATCCTTGCACAAACTCTACGAATGCTTTGGCTAAAGCCCGATATGCGCAACCCGGACGCCCTCAAGTCCTGCACCATTCACCTCTCGTACGCCCACATGGAGCCCCTCTTTCACTTTAGAATTGGGCTTTAGGCTTGAGGGGAGGTTTCAACCTAAACCCAAGACGCCATCCAGGAACGCACAAAGTGCCCTCAGCCTCATTGCAAAGATGCGCAAGGACGTCTTGGTATCTCTTAGGAGCCCCAATATGTCGTGACATTTCAAAAGCTCTCGAAATCCTTACAAGTTCTGGCGTACACGCAATATAGTTCCCATAACGCTACTAGCGGAGGGGCTCCACGTTAGTTGAAGATCATTGTACACTCTAGACACGAATTGCACCATGGTGTACCAAGCGCTAATTTGAGTCTCCAACTTCATGCGGCCTGGTACCCCAGCGGAAGATTCGCTCTACACTGAGCCTGCGCCATCATAACTGATCCAACGCCTACTGCACTGAGAACTGCTTGTATTTCCAGCGTGCTCTCGCTACTCCTCACGTGAATCAACCGTAGACACCCGCAAACATTAAACTCCTAATTTGAAACAGAAAATCCTTTGATGCTCTCATCGCAAGCCCCCCAAAACCCTATACAACAACCTTCTAGACTCCGTAAAGCCCCTCAACCCCAAACCTCCCGAAAACTTATTTATTACACACCCAAAGCCTTTGGTCATTCCCTTCACAGATTCCCTTCACAGTTTTTGTCCTTATAAAAGCAATTTTTTTATTACGGGGCTATTATCATTCCTATCATCTCTTGTGGTAACAACTACTGTAAGGGGGGAATTCTATTTTCATTACGCTTTCCACCTGATTCTCCATTATTATCACAAAATCTAAACCCTAAACCATACGTATTTATATCTCTGAAATCCTTTTGAACAGACCATGATTCACCGCTAAACCCTGGGGTTCCGGACTCGTTTCGAGGCACAACCCACTGCCAGAGCTGCGGATGCAGCGCCCAAGCCCACGCTTAGGGCCTGAGACCGCGTGGAAATATGGGTGGTTGTCAAAATTACGGGCCCTTTTTGGATCCCTATTATAATACGGCACCTAATATTTAGGGTACCCAAAAGGGGACCATAATTTTGACAACCACCCATATACTGCTCAGGGACGAACTTGGGATTTAAGGCCTTCAGGGCCAAAGTTAAGGCCTAAGCCCTAAGAAAGGAAGGATAGCATCCAGGATCATCCAGGGGGTTATACAGGCTGATATAAGATTATATCTATTGTACGGAAAATGGGGGTTGGTGTGTTAGTAGAAATGAACAAAAGGAAAAGAAGACACAAACTGCTAACATATTGAAGGCAACATAGTGGCAACGGTGACAAACATGGAGTTCCGTATTAAGGTATAAGAGCATCGTGAAGTCCCACTCAAGGAATTTAGGGTTCAAGGGCCTCTCATCGCACAAGACTGAGAATCAATGCGCAGATGGCGCCACTCCACTCCCAAGGGTGTGTAGGTGCCGGCACATTCCGCGCCCGGCAATCCTTGCACGATCTTGTTAAAGATTCCTTCGAAACAGGGAAATCTCACACGTCCCACCCGCTGTGAAACATCACAAGCTTCTACCCAAACGTCTCCCTTTACGGTTTAGGGCTGGCGCCTTCCACTTTCCCTCAAGATCTTCGTCTTTGTTTTTACTTGCAAATGCTTAGGAAACGTTTTCTTGATGAGGGTGGTGGGAACGGCCTATGCCAGCCGTGTTGGGGCGATGAAAATTCCAGTCAGGCAATGGTATAGGGCAAGGGCCAGTATCGAAACCACCTTTGAGAAAAAACGGTTTCAGCTTCAGGGTTATGTATTGCAAATCAGGAGGTCCCGATAATGATTGAACCCAGGATTTGCCAAACCTTGCACCCGAAACCGCCGAAATCCTCATTTCAAAAGCCTGACTCCAATAAGGAAAGACTCTTCAAAAAATACCCGAAAATCATACTTTGGTTTCCTGGGAAAACCTTCCCAAAAAACAGGCTCCTGTAAGCGCAACTCCGGTTTAGGGCTGTGCTTTCGGCGTAGAATCGTAGACCTTTGAATAACAGAAAGTATCCGACACATCAAACCGCGTACCATGTCTCCCTGGCCCTCCAAATAAGGCTTCGGGCTCATGTGAGGCCAGGGCTTCACCGTTGATGCCGTTCAAGTGTGGGACTGACAATTCGAAGTTCTAGGGCTGGGGAACCTATCACACACTCGTATATTCAAAGCAATCATCTGGCAAGTCCTAACAAAGTGAGCAATGCAAAAATCTAGGGTTATGACTTAAGGCTTAATGTTTCTCAGGATAGGAAACGCTGTACCCCGAAACAGTTGATCTCTTTGATATTCGCAAGAAAGTTGTCCCAAAACCCTCAAGCCCAAGTCCCAAACCTGAGAAACAAACAGCCCCAGCATGATAATTGACAATCATGTGCAGAAAAAACTGTGTCTATACCCGCATACGGATGATGCCGCTGGTCAGTTAAGAACCGCTATCAACCTGAATTTGCTGAGCGACGTCTGGGACGCCGGCGTTGCTGCTAGTTGCCCTGGCTGCCGTCTGTGTCGAAGAAACCTGCTGGCAAGGGGGTTCTCCAAATCTTTGGCCCATAGTGTTGGCCAGCCCCCCTGCTGCCCCCCTTCCCCCAGTAGACGATGCCAAACGATTGCCAATTGCATACCGAACCACACCGTATACCGGAGTTATACTACACATACAATGAACATACACTTCACTTACCTGCGGCTAGCATGCGCCTGACATACAGATTGGAATATAATCCAGATATGCCAGGCTAAATGACAAGCCGTCTCCCGGCGCATTCAAGTGTAAAGCACAATATTACTTTCCGTTTCCACGTCATTGACCATGTGATGCTCCACTACAAGCTACACCCTAGTCCTAGACAGTACATACAAACCCCCACAGAACCTGTATACATCCTGTTACATAAATCCCCATCTGTCCCTGAGCCCTTAGCCATAAACTGTTGACGGAGCCTCTACGGCCCTAGTAGCGCGGAGGCTCTTCGTCTGCGCCGTGGGCGCCACAAACGCTGTGCTGCACAGGGCTGCTGCACCTTCACGAAAGCAAATGGAGGAAATCTTGCACCGCCTTATAAACACTAAACTCCCAATAGTTGATAATTCGAAGATGGTGCGGATATTTCTCAAGATCGAACCTTATCACCCATGCGAAATGTGAGGTTGGGTGACTAAGCCCCTCATCTATGAACAAGTTCGATTCACAAAACACATGTTGTTCAGAAGAATTATTTTGCGCGAATGACTCCAACATGTTTTAATTTCGCAAGATGGCTTAAGCCCTCTTGCAGGGTCGAGATCCATGATTATGTTTAACGTACTGTCCATTTGGAAATTATAAGTTCTGAGGCCACAAAAAGGCCTCAGGAGATACCTTCCCCTAATACAAAAGGTGGGGGATAGGGCAAGCCACTGAGAAAACAGTTGTAAGTTCCAAACCCATGACATATGATGAAAAACTTGCCAAATACTTATAGTAACAAAAAAGAGCAACGGACGCAATAATGTTTATACCAGCAAAGTAGCACTATAGTCATAAAAATACGAGTTATATACTACGCGCAATACGGAAATAATGCGATCAATCTTCTGCGTGTAGTCATCTATTTCTTTCTTGCTTGTTGCTTTTATTCTTTTCCGTTTTCCTGCCGTTCTTTATTATGCTTCATATTGCTGCTATCTGTATGTACTATGTACTTATTTCTTTCTTTCTCGCTGGCTGTCTGTCTCGGCAATCATGTGCAAGTTTCCATAAATGGCGGGACCCCAAAATAAAGCCCAAAGTACTACAACTCTGGCAATGGGGACCGCCACAATGAGTCACTGGCCCTAAGAAAAACCCTACATCCAAGCCCTATACCCTACAACTTAAACCCCAAAGCCTTTATAAGCTCCAAACCCATGACATATGATGAAAAACTTGCCAAATACTGATAGTAACAAAAAAGAGCAACGGACGCAATAATGTTTATACCAGCAAAGTAGCACTATAGTCATAAAAATACGAGTTATATACTACGCGCAATACGGAAATAATGCGATCAATCTTCTGCGTGTAGTCATCTATTTCTTTCTTGCTTGTTGCTTTTATTCATTTCTGCTTTCCTGTCGTTCTTTATTATGCTTCATATTGCTGCTATCTGTATGTACTATGTACTTATTTCTTTCTTTCTCGCTGGCTGTCTGTCTCGGCAATCATGTGCAAGTTTCCATAAATGGTGGGACCCCATAATAAAACCCAATGTACTACAACTCTGGCAATGGGGACTGCCACAATGAGTCACCGGCTCGCAGAAGAACCCTACATCCAAGCCCTATACCCTACAACTTAAACCCCAAAGCCTTTATAAGCTCCAAACGCATGACATATGATGAAAAACTTGCCAAATACGTATAGTAACAAAACAGAGCGACGGACGCAATAATGTTTATACCAGCAAAGTAGCACTAGTCATAAAAAAAGAGTTATATACTACGCGCAATACGAAAACAATGCAATCAATCTTCTGCATGTAGTTGTTTCTTTCTTTCTTGCTTGTGTTTTATTCATTTCTGCTTTCCTGTCGTTCTTTATTATGCTTCATATGATTGCTATGTGTATGTACTATGTACTTATTTCTTTCTTTCTCGCTGGCTGTCTGTCTGTCTGTTTGTCTGTCTGTCTGTCTGCCTGTCTGTCTTGATTGCTTACCTTGTTGCTCTCGCTCTTTCGTACTTCTTCCTATGTCTCTTTCTTTCTCTATGCCTTTCTGCCCCGCTCCCCTACCGCACACCAGCTCTTCTGTCCTTTTTTCATGGCCTGCCTCTACGGAACAAAGGCCCATCGCGCCAGAGAAAAAGGGCACCCCAAAATGGGCTTTCATTAGCAGTGCGTTCTTGACAGTGAGAGTCCAAGGGGGCAAGCCAATATCCCGTTGTTGAACCCTAAGACGTAAGAACTCTCTCGAGCCCAGCCCTCAGGCTTTCTGATTCAAGTTTTAGTGCACCTCAGCCCCCCTCAAACCCTGGGCGGTTTCCTTGATCTCTTCAACCCTGACAAAGAGGTCTGATCTTGGATGTTCCGTAGGAGAGCTCGGGGGCTTCATATTGGAATCGTGCACGAGCCCATGCAGTTTCTTCGGGGAAGTCTTGTTTGAGACTGCGGCTGTAGTCACCGCACCTACAAAATTGACTGGATCCGGTAGCATCAACCTAATTCATATATCGCCATCAATGCTTGTGCCTTCACTGACAGCAACCAATATCATCACCAGGCTTCAGGGTTAAAGCCATGGGCCTTGGAAAAATAGGGGGCCTTTACCCTGGGATCCTTACATGCCTACTATATACCCTTTCTGTACGCCTGAGGGTCCCCAGAATCCCCCGAAAAGGGCCAAGGGCCCGCGCTACAGGCCCATACTTCAAGGTGGTATGCCCAGACAGGTCTGTTGCTTATGATTCCGTCATGCACAAGCCCGAAATCTTGGTGCCTGTACAAAGGCAGAACCCAAAAATGTCGACGCATCACAGATGCGAGACAAGGTTCATTCAACCGTGACATTGCTGCATACGCCCTGTACGACCCCTACAAAATCTGAACATCATGCCTGCACGTGTCTCTACGAAACTGTGAACCCCAACTCCTGAAAGATTGGCCCCCAAATCTGATGATGCAGTATCATGGCATTCCACAGCCCCAGTCACTTCTACTCTAGGTTCTTCAGTAACCCTTTAATGACAAGGGTACCCTTTTTCCTAATGTTTTGCTTAAATTGGGAGACCCCATAATACAAAGGGGAAAAGGGTGCCAGTGGGTAGTTTGTACTTGTTCGCGCCACTACATTCCCTGTTCTCTTGGTTCCCGCCTGCGGCGCCCAAAGCGACGGTCAAGGTGCGTCCCGTAGAAGCCATCTGCGAAAGGAAGTTATTATCAGTACTATTACTGTTATCACTACCAAAATTACTATTATTAGTAGTACCATTTCTATTCTTGCTATTATGATTACTTTCGTGTTTGTCAGAGTTTAGTGGGATTGGATCCCAGCAAATCTTGGTCAGCAAGGGCAATCCCATTCCTGGAGGGCTGCCCATCTTCAGTTTTCAGTGCCGCAAGGTTTCGGGTTCAGGGTGTAGGGGTTTAGGGTTTAGACCTCGTAAACGAATCTCAGACCATGGGCCGTAAAGGCCTAAATCCTAAAGAGTTAGATCCAGCGAAGAAAGCCTCCCCAGAAATCCAGAGCCTGCGTATCAATTCCAGACCCTGAATCCTGAAACTGTACACCCCAGAAAAAAGTATTGCATATTGGATAATTGCTTTACTGTTGCAATACACCAATCCTAACGCCGTGAATTCTGAAAACCCAAACCCTCAAGTTCAAGCCCCTCTCTGGGCTCTACACAACCAGAAGTTATAACCCCTTGACTCCAAGCCCCCCGAAACTTGAACTCTGCACAAAACTCTTTATCCTCCCCCAAAACTAACACACAATTCCCGCATCATCACCCATCTTTTTGAAATTAGCCTTGGACGAAGTTGGGGCCTGAATTCTAAGTTTGGTAACCTGACATGGACCCTAAACCGCGGAGGCCCTAGAGCCTAAGGCCCCTGAACCCTGCAGGCCCTAAACCCAACTCTGGGCGGCCCGGCGGAAGCAAAAAGAGGCAGTGGGAAAAAATCGGTGCAAAGTTTTTGTGTTGGGACGGCCCGAATCCTTGGCGGCAGGGATCTTTACGAAGCTCTAGTCGTGTTTTGGAAGAAATCTGGGTCCCTTGATCAGGTCAGGTTTGGCAGGTTTATGGGTGAGGTTTGGTTTTGGGGGGCTTTACACTTTTGGAAAGCTGAATAATTGCCGACTGACGCACTATACCCGAGAACCCATGCAGAATTCAGCATGCAAGGCTTGACAAAGCTTGCGTACAATGTTATCAGCAAAGAAAGTAAAGTCAAACATGGAAGGCAAACTACTTGTACAACGAGCTGTGAGGTTCATGTTGTTTTATATGCGGTGAAGGGTAAAACCTTGAAATTGACCGCGACCCAAGAGCGGGTAACTGACGACGAGCCCACTGAGAGTGAAGGCAATTCAGTGGCTGGTCTTCATTCGGATCCATGTCAAAGGCCTTTCTATGACATGGCTCCCACTATGTAAACAACTAGGTAATTGGGTTAACGTGTAACCAGGAAAAAGGAAGCTTGTTGTGGGTACAGCCCCACACCTTATATAGTGTTAAACCACTACGCACAATCCGAACCCCCTAAAATCCACCATCCATTCACTGTGTTCTACGGTCCTACAGTAAAGGCTTTGGAATTGAAGCCCGAGTCTGAGTGAACAAAAGTTGCAGTGCGTAGTTGCCGACAATCACGCCGCACATGACGGCTCATCTGGACCCCTTATTATCATAAGAGTATGATGTAATATGAGATAGTATAATCCTCTTCTAAGGCTAGTTAGCTGAGTACTACACACCCGAAACTTTCCTCAACCCCAAAGCCTAAACGCTGTGACAAATTAGGCTGTTTCTCACCACATGGCTTCCTGACGACTGGGAGCCCCGGCCCGAAAAAAGCTTTGCACTGCTTCCAGGCTTGAGGCAAGCGGCGACAAGTGCGCAGGCTGGCATACTGTAGGGGCTTGGATTAGGGTTCTATGGGTTGTTCTCAAAAATATGGGCCCCCTTTGCTTGTAGATCTTATTATGGCACCTAATATTTAAGGGTACGAAAACAGGCTTAAATTAGGGTTGCGTAAGGATTATGGGGATACCTAACGAAAGGTTTAGGGATGTTACTCCACTAAAGTGGAACATGAAATGGAAAGTGGTCGGGATAGGATACAGGAGTTTCTAGGGATAGGGTTACGGGCCAGGACAGCTACTCTAATGCAGCTTAGGATGGGCAATTATGTAGGTCCCGGTATCTAAACCTAAACCCTAAAAAGTAGTTTCTAATATTATAGTATTTGGGCCCTAAAACCTTATTATTTGAGTCCTTGGACCCTTAGGGCTTTCCATTTTCCCAATATGACCCCGGCATATCCCTACCGGCTCGGGACTTTTGAGGTGCAAAGACAAGTCTAGGTTAGGTGGACCCCCCACCCAGTAATAGTGACTATAAGGGATAATAGGGATTATATGCCTTATATTCTTATTATACCACTATTACAGGGTGGGGGGTCCTCCTAAAGTCTAGGCATGTCGCATCGGCTCCAGACTCTCTTTTTCATCTTCTCGTATTGGGGTTATGTAGTTATAATGGAAAATGGAAACTACAGGGATTATAGGGGTTCTATAGGGGGTTTATAGGGATAATATAGGGGTTATATAGGGATAGGGAAAAAATGGAAACCTACTATAATCAGTTATTTAGGGTTAAGGGTGTAGGGCTGGGGTTATATAGGGAGAATGGAACAGAAAAATGAAACTACTATAGTATATTGGAGTTACTATAAAATGTACTACCTGTATCTCTGATAGTGTATCAAACCGAAACATACGCAACAACACGAAAAAACAGCCCGCTCTGATCTGTACTGGCTTGCGCAATCTTCTTCATTTGCATACTTGATGTTCATATATTTCATGTAAATAGTTCAAAAATCCTTTGTTGCGACAAATTAGTGCAACACTCACTGGCACGAGTTCACGAGTTGGAGTGCCACACAAACTCACCATTCCCGTTGTCATCCCTTTTCACAATCTTGAAGATTGCATTTGAACTCCGAGAAACGGACAGCGCAAGTGGTGATATGTGAGGCCACAGTATTGATGGGCTGTGTTAAATCAAAGCTTAAGGCACAAGAGAACCTTTTGTATTTACGATGCGCATCGTCACACTTCTACCCAGGTGACATTCAAATCTGGTTTTACAGTGACCACTTGAGTATTCTATTTGGGGATACTATGGTACCCATTATAGAATAATATTGTATCCTACTTTAGGGGTATAGTAATTCTCTCACTAGGTTCAACCACCAAAAAACACGACTCACTTGTCCATCGCCTTCCTGTTGCGATACTTGCTGTTGACACTGCAAGCCCAACGGCGCGTAACCTATGTGACATGCTTGCCGTTGCCTTTCTTGCGATGCTTCCTAAAACGCATCCCTCAGAAAAAAACTATGGCGCTCTAAAACACGCGTGGAAACGTATAAGCTCATATATATATATATACAGCGAGAGATGGATCTCTTTGATTTGGCGGCAAACCAAACATGTTTGACTCTCTACAAGCTGAAGCTTGTCTTGTATATGCCCATGAAAAACATAGCTTCTACGTGGGAATCTGATCTTAGTCACCCTGTACTAGGAACCCCAAAATGGACCATACTTAGACTTTTGACAACACCTCATATCCCTGCTGAAATCTGACCCAAAACTTCGTACGGTGTTTGTTTTTTAGCTGCTGAGCTACTGCAGGTCTGGTCCTACAGCGGCCTTTGAAGTCGCTGGACCTCAGGTTTTGGAGCATCAAGAAGGATGGGAATCAACGCAGTATTGAGGGCATTTGGGTTTCAGGGTAGGGTGTGGGAGTTCGCATGTTCTGAAGTTCAAAGTTCAGCAAGCAAACCACTCAATGTTCACAAGGTACCTGAGGCATGTGCTGGGAGGTCCTGTACAAGCACGGCTGCACTCACCAAAAGCCTGCCAATGCGACGTCAATGGCAGCACTTTTCGAGTGGTATGGGAAAGGTAGCATTTACGAACCGAACTTCGGATTCACAACCCTTCAGCATTGAAAGGCTTCCAAATTGTGCCAAAAAAGTTTGGAGGATGGACATGCGCGCCCCAAAAGAAATTCCACGTCCGCCCCAGAAGTACAAAGATTATCTATTCAATAACGAAGGGCCAGTCTGTCGCCCAGCCTTGTCAACACAGGTCTGTGCTCATACACGGGGTTATCGACCCGGTGAACGCCAACGCGTAGGAGGGATCCAGTGAGCTTTGTCGTATGCGAGCCATGCACCGTACGATGCAAATCTTTCTGGGACGTAAGAACGTTTGTGCGGCAAATGCGGGTGAACAATGAGGCGCGCATCTCCATAGTGTTCCCAAATGCGCCGTCTCTCTTATGACCCGCTAGCTTCTGTAAGAGGTATGTACACAATGTGCCTTTGATCCTTGCAAGTTTCCCTACCGAACCGCAGTAGCATGTGCCGAAGACAAGGAACTAGGCTCCAGAATTTCTGGGCCTACAAACTCGCCATCCCTCAATTTTCGCATGTCATTGCCACGGAGGAATTTCACATGGGAAGCTACATGCACAGAAACAACGTCTGTGGACCTAAGCTGTCAAGACCATGCTGCATCGCAAGTGGGCCTTCAAATCCCCACGTCGCTGGTCATTTGGTTCTCGAGATTCCTGCGCAAGAAGACTGCGTCATCATGTGTCAACACACGTCATAATTTTCATTTGTTGTCTGGGCTTCTGGTCGTTGGCCGATAATAATACGTACGTCCATATCACTCCAAAGCAATGGCACGAATACACTCCGCCGTACAACCGGTACAAGTACGTACCATCAATGACCGTTATCATGGTCCGTCCAAACCCTGAACCACGATGCCTTTGAAAATTCCAGGCTAGCACAAAAATGAATCTGATTTGTGTTGCCTGAGGTTCTTGCTGAGCTGCTTTCTGGGCATAGAAAATCATTGCAAAATTTGGCCGGTATATGCGTGATGTCCCACACTGGATTGGGATGCTCAAGGAATGCCACGCTTCTGCACAATGCTGGAGGGTTTGCGTCCTGCCGATTTAACGTTCGGAGTGCTTGTGCACTAGTGTGCTACATGTGGTCTCGCGTGGGGTCCTTTAATGTTATAAGCAACTGTGACTGAGGCCATTGGCTTCTGGAGAACAGTGTGCCAACTTGCTTATGAAGTGGCCATGGAAAGTTCGAAAGCAATCCC